TTAGAATTAAGATACATTAGTCTTATACTCAGACCAGAACTTTGCTCTTCATTCAAATAGAGCACATCACACTCAGTCGACATTCTGGATTCGTTCTTCTAAATTAGTCTTAGTTAAATGCCTTTTTACAAATATCACGAACTTGGTCTAAGGTGGTTGTTGATGTCTTGCAAGGTTGAATACAGGTCTATAAAACCAACTATAAGTATACGCTCTGTAGTACTGGAGTAAGCAATGAAAAACAGGAACATGTAATCGTAACTTGGGTGTTTATATACGTTATTTATATTATACTTTAATAAACAAATTCGGTGTCTAGTACAATTTTAACGTCAAGAGCATGTGTAAGTTAGTACGAACTGTTCTAAAGATTAACCCTAACTTCACATCCTTTAAACGAACACCTGCTGTAGTTCGTTAACTCAATCTATAACAACTTATTCTTTGTTTTGAATGTTTTAATTTTTGAAATATTCAACGTATATGCTGATGTTCGTTTGTAAAGTTTAAATAAGTCAATAAACACAATTTAACTTACATATTGAATGTATATTGTAAATCAAACCAACCATTTATCAACTTGTATTTTGTATTTATGACAAAGCTACTAAGACTATCTGCCATTGTCCCTAATTTTGAAATATTGACTAGAGGGAAAGCAGCCAATCAACAGCAATCTACCATCCGTCGTATGAGACTGACTATCACTTTTATAATACATCCTCAGCCTAGAATGCGGGGAACATTTAGTAATATCACCAGCTCTGCTAGTGGGCCAGCCAGCATCCTTTATATAGCAAGGTTACCTTCTAAATAGGAAGGAAATCTAGGTCATACTTCTACACCATCCACTGGGTAAGTTACAACTGCTAATAAGTGACTTATTTAAAAACACTGTTTTTCCTTTTAAAAAAATGGCCGGCTTCCTGAACTGATTCTAGAAAAAGTATATCATAAATATTCATAAAGAAACTCTCCGAATTTTAGGGTTAATCTCATGTTCATAAGCTTGCTTATTCAAATCTCATGCCTACCAGTTATTTGTTCAGACATAATAAATTATATTAACTAATATAAGAGAATGAAGTTTGAAAATGCGAAGATATAGTTTGAAAACCTCGTGTTTTACGAAAGTTCGTTTAATTTGTATGTATAGTGCAGTGAAAACCAAACGGACCCATCAGGTTAATACATGTGTTTATGTTGGATAACACGTGTAAACCAAGTTTTCATGTTAAGACTGGTAAAAAACATGTTATCAGAATTGCCACTGAAAAATACCATTTTTGAGGTGGTCTACACACGAATAATCTTTCATAAAAGAAACATTGTTAATGGTGATGCAAGACACCACAACCTCATTAGGTCACAGTGAAACTGAGAAAGGAATAATTAGACGTGAGAAAAATATATATCTAGGGATGTTGTGATGGGTCTCGTTAGAAAACAATTACAACTTTTGTATGTGATCCTGTGTGCTAACTTCTTAATCAGAATTTAACTAGGACTGATTTTTCCTCATGATGTCACAGTGAAACTCTGATTAAGGAATAAATAAACGTGAAAAAATAACTAACTAGGACTGATTTTATCTCATTAGGTCAGAGTGCAACATAGAGTAAGGAAATAGTTTAATTATTCCTTACTCTATGTTGCACTCTGACCTAATGAGATAAAATCAGTCTTAGTTAGTTATTTTTCTCACGTTTAATTATTTCTTACTCTATGTTGCACTCTGACCTAATGAGATAAAAATCAGTCTTAGTTAGTTATTTTTATAGGTATAGTTTAATTATTCCTTACTCTATGTTGCACTGTGACATAATGAGGTAAAATCAGTCTTAGTTAGTTATTTTTATAGTTATAGTTTAATTATTCCTTACTCTATGTTGCACTCTGACCTAATGAGATAAAATCAGTCTTAGTTAGTTATTTTTATAGTTGTGACCTAATGAGGTAAAATCAGTCTTAGTTAGTTATTTTTATAGTTATAGTTTAATTATTCCTTACTCTATGTTGCACTGTGACATAATGAGGTAAAATCAGTCTTAGTTAGTTATTTTTATAGGTATAGTTTAATTATTCCTTACTCTACGTTGCACTCTGACCTAATGAGATAAAATCAGTCTTAGTTAGTTATTTTTATAGGTATAGTTTAATTATTCCTTACTCTATGTTGCACTAGCGAAACTTCGAGTCAGGATTAACTAACTAACAATACGAAGAATTAAATTGTGGCGGAATGCTACAAGTTCTTCAAATACCTATAGAATGATAGGTTTATTTTTCGTGAGTTTTAACATTTAAATACACCAATTCGATTTTCGATACCTCACTGCTATAAAGGCTTGGTTTGGTCTGAACTTTCATTGGTGGTATTGTCCAGAGTCACTGATGAGGAGTGGAATTCTCCGAAACTAGTCTGGCTCACTGACACACCCCCAATGAAAGAATAGACCATTCCAAGCTTTTACTTGTTGTTAAACAAATGTTTAAACAACTATCCAATTGTGTAGAAATATGTTCGAAAGCGACATGATACAAATGATTATTCTGATTTTAGGACTTCGAACTCACTAATGCAGAGTAACGTTACACCGGTGTATTCACACGGAACTAATTTCTTGGTTAACACACGTAGGCATCAGACAAAAAATAACAAAAACTCATTCAATAAGTGCAGTGATTAAAGGGATTACTGATAGAGCTCGAAAGAACAACAAATTGTTAATTAGGAAAAAAAAATGTGTGGTTTAAACTACCTATGTTTAGATAATTCAATAAGTCACGAAAATAAACAAATTATTTATAGGGTAATTATTCATTATGCAAAAACAAATTCCCATCTGATATACTTAGCTTTTACTAAGGAATCAGCAGAACACCTGTGAAAGTATATACCATATGTGTAATAACACACAGCGCCAAAGAAATAGTTCGTTTATACCGACTGACAAATAATGAACAGAAATGCATACATAGTTGCGAAATTAAGTTATTGTGAGGAGATATTTAGAAATGATAAAGATATGAAAACTACGTCTATAGTACTCGAAACTGGTGTTATACAAGTTTATGTTGCACATATAAAAGAATGCAAAACTCTTCAATTCTTTCCTAATCAAATTATCCATTTCTTACAAGAACTTCTGTAACGCAATGTTCCATCTGCTGACTCCAATAAAAATGTAACGTAATGTTCCATCTGCTGACTCCAATAAAAATGTAACGTAATGTTCCATCTGCTGACTCCAATAAAAATGTAACGTAATGTTCCATCTGCTGACTCCAATAAAAATGTAACGCAATGTTCCACCTGCT